ATGTTGAAAGTAAATATCTGATATGTCATTTCTGCTGATATTTTTAAAAATACAGCTATATACTAAATAACGCTTCTAATATTATATTTAAACAAGAATTTCCAAATTTCGTAGCGAAAGTAAATATCTGATATCTAATTTCTGCTGATATTTTTGAAATTATAGTTACTATATGAGGCTTGATATACTATAGCTGAACAGAATTCTCCAAATTTTGTAATGAAAGTAAATATCTGATATCTGCTAGGACTACTGAACGAAGAAAATATGTGTATGTCTTATATGGACTCCATAGTCAAAGTTTGAAAACTATACAGAGAAGTAAATATCTGATATCTGATTTCTGATAATATTTTTAAAATTATACCTACTATATGAGACTTCATATGTTATATTCAAATAAAAACTTCCAAATTTCATATTGAAAGTAAATATCTGATATCTGCTTTTTAATGTTGTTCCTGAAGGCTATATTAAAGTAAATATCTGATTTTCTTCCTAAAAATCAGATATCAGCGATCAGATGTTTAGTAGAAATTGGTACCAGTTTGAGATTTGCCATGACCTCAATATTTTTTATTAATAATTAGTTTATAAACTTTTCTTTCGTATAATGATATAAATATCAAGAAGTATGTAGTCAACAAGATTTTCATGAAATGAAAACTATATTTTGACAAATGACTCTTCATCCTAATTAGATAATTAAGAGTTAACATTATATATTCTAAATTAGTACAATAAAAATGAGAAGAGCTGACTTTATATTTAAGTCTATATGTAGTTTTTCTAGAAATACGCTTCGATGGATGAAGAAAATACTAGAAAAAGATTTAAGGGCTCCTAATGACTTCAATTATAAATTACAAGTTATAAACTAATATCATAATTAATTTTTTTTTTAGATTATACTGAAACAAATGCCTGCTATAGCATTTACTGCTGATATTTGGAAGAGTGGTGCTCGTAAATATTACATATCATTGACTGCTCACGTATTCGATGATGACTTTGAAGTTATACCACTTGTATTATCTTTACGACAATTAACTGGTCGTCATCTTGCCATTAATGTTGAAGCTTTCATTAAATATGAATTCAATGAAAAATTTCAAATTATGCCTAATCAACGAGCTGGAATAACAACTGGTTGTGGCTCAGAAATGGTTGCTACAACAGCCTATGGTTTATTTGGTCCAAGACATTCGTGCATTGCGCACGTATGGAATAATGTTGTCAAAAATGGTTTATGCTTATGGGAGAAACCAAATCCAAAAAAGTCAGTTGTTTGTTTTTAGTTGTTTACGAGAAAGATTTATCTTAGTAAAACCATATAGAAAATTTAGTATCAAGTTTTGTTGTTGTATAGCTAGAGAAAGCGTATATGAACTTTTCTGAGCATATTATCGGAAATAAGATTAGTCACTAAACTTCACGTAGGCTACCGAGAAACGACTGATATTGCGATCAATTTACTTTCTTTTACATGGAAATTTTATCTTTCAGATGAAGTATATTTCTAGAAAGATGATTTATATGAATTAGTTTTGAAACAAGAGATTAAAATATGAATTATCTAACGATACTTAGAAATGATCAAAGATCTTATCATTCTAAAAAATAATCGTAATTAGTTTCATCTCCATGTTAAATTAGTTGCTGTTCTTTCTTCACAGAGTTCAAATAAAGATAAACAATAAATTTGCAACACACATTTACAGATTACTAAGCATGATATTATTTTCTTTTGGAGTTTATAGTCACAGACAAGAAGATATAGTGAAAGTGAAAAGATGAGAATCTTAAAACAGTACTCACCTCTAGTTATTCAGTTTTCGTCACATGCGCAAATTCATATTATAAATGATACAATTTTTTTTAGATTTCCTATTCTTCAATTTGAAATCAATGACCGAGAATCTATTCGTAGTCTTAATGCTGATGAAGATGATTTACTTGGTGAAGAAGTTCTTCATACAGTTCAATCAGATGAAGAAGAAATTGAAGATAATAATGAACAAAATTCATCTCAATTAGATCAAGTTCAATCAACAACATCAACAATTATGGTGGTAAAGAAAAGAAGAATTCAACCAATATATGATGAATTTTTAAGTGAAGACGATGAACCAGTTATTATTCAACCAGAAACTCGTTCAATTACTCTTGTTGGTCTTCTTGAACGCGTCTTCAATTTACTAGACCGTTGTCGTCAACTAATTACTGATATTCGCAACATAGACGTGGTTCAAACATATACTTTGGTTGAAATTCGGAAAAAAGGACGTGGTTTTACGATTGACATGGACGTATGTTTCTTCTTTAATGTTTTTAAATGAATCTAGCTAGACTTGAAAGAAACTATAAGTGTAAGAAAAGCTGGACAACATAAGTAGAGAAATATAAAGATATTCTCCAGATCCGTTTTAAACTAGAGTCAACGGAGATAGAGTTCTCACTATTATTTAAACAAACGTTTCTTTTAGTAGTAATGTTGAAGTTTTTTTTCTAATTTATGACTAGTTTAATCTATAAACTCTTTCTATCATTCTTTCTCAACAATTGACTAGTTTTTACTATTTAACTGAGAATGAATACTATGAGTTCATCTCAATGTGTTTGTAGTTCCTGCAGAGAGACAGCTTTTAATGATGTAGTCTCTCAATGAAATATATTAATATATAAATAATCTTTAATACAACTCTTTTATAAAAGATCGTCTCTCTTGAAAAAACTACAATCAAGTAAATGAAATGTCGAATCAATTTATGAGATATTTTTAGGAAGAGGATTTCATACGCGATTGATCTAAGTTGATCGGAAAGACTCAAGTTTTAGTGACATATCAATAATACAAATTAAGTTTTTTCTTATATTTTTCCTTCAAAGGTTCGTTGGAATACAACTTATCAAATGATCGATCGTCTACTTGAACATCAAAACTTGGTTGATATCATCGTACGTCGAAAATTTGATGGTCTTACAGTTTGTCAAGCAAATCGATTAAAATTGGCTGCATTAAATCCCGATGACTGGGATGTTCTCCGTGCCCTCCATCAGGTGTTGACTGGATTCGACGTTGCAACAACAATTGTTTCGGCTAGCCATTATCCAACACTCTCTGATTCATTTTGGGCAATTACTAAACTTCGACAAATTTTAATTGCAAATACAGATCAATCTCGGTACGTCGAATTTCTCAAAACAACGGCATTAAATTATTTAGATATGTATATTGAAAAACATTTGTCAAAAGGTCAACAAGAAGGAATGCTCGTAAGTTGATTTAAACTGATTTATCTCCGATATCATATTCATTCTTTCAACTGAGTAAATTTTTAAAAAAAGACGTCTGTTTCAAGTAATTGTATGGTATTTTAAATAAAAAAGTTTCATATTAGATATTCTATAACAAAAAATATGAATACGTCTTTCCATATCTTTTTGACGTTTCGAAAAACAGTATTTGTTGTGTCAGAAAAATTTGACATTAGGTCACGATTTATTAACTCTATAATTTAAATTTACGCTTTTCCATTTTCATTCACATCGTTTTATGTCAACGTTTCATTAAAGAATTTATATTCAATTTTTTCAATTTTACATCAACTATGTATAAGATTTTTCTTGTTTAGATCGCAGCTTTTCTCGATCCAGAAACTCATAATGATATGAGTCAAGATGATTTTTCTAAAGCAATGGAAATCGTGAAGCAAAAGTTAGAACAAATATCTACAACTACATCATCATCGACAACAACAACAACAACAACAACAACAACATCATTATTTTCACCTCTTTCATTACCAACATCTCAAATAACATTCTCGAAGAAAGATGCTGCAAAACAGCGAATGAATCAATTAGCTGGAATTGGTATGAATCTATCGAATGATAGATCAATTACTGCTGCAGTTGAAATATCTCTATTTACAAATGCAATTAAAACAAACCAAAGTTTTAAAGAGTTTTGGTCAACTCAAAATCAATCATTTCCACGTCTAGTAACATTAGTTCGTCGTTATTCCATCGTACCTGCTACATCAGTTGCAAGTGAATCTGCTTTTTCTGTTTGTGGGTTTATTGCACGCAAACAACGTTCATCATTATCATCTCGTATGTTACGTCAACTTCTAGTTCTTAAATACAGAAAAAATTTACTCAAATTTAAACGCCAAGATCAACCTTCTTTGCTACAAGATCGTTTAACTCAATCGTTATCACTTGGTATTACAGGATCAACTGCTGTCTAATTATATTCATACATTTAGTTATATTTCAAAATGATAGACCCTTTATTATCAAACGTTTAGCATTTAACAGGTTTTTCGTTTTTTTGTTAGCTTCACTCATGTCAACCATAGTTTCATGTGTTGGAGGAAGTTATAGTGATGATAGAATAGAAAGTACTTGAGTAGGCTCGCGATAAACAATATTACTCCAGCATTCATAACTGACAGTGACTATCTTTTCATTATAATAACCATGATAATAGACAGTCAGCGTCGATCTGTCTATCTCTAAGACATGCTTCTAAATCACAATCGATTACTAAGAAAGATTGTATCAGATATCTCAATACAAAAATTTTACATTAGTTCATGTAATTTTCTGAATTTCACGTATTAATTACATTAAATTCTAAAAGATTTTTGAATGCAAATTATGAAACTTGTGTTTTTTTTAATAGAAATCTATTAGTTTGGCAAGATTAAATAATAATATTCGATTTAAACAGCTTTTGAAAAAAAGTTATTTGTTATTATTCTGTTATTTATAACAATAACAAAAAATAGTTATTGTTATAAATAACTATAACTAAAAAGTTATTGTTATTTATAACAATAACAATAAATACTCACCCCTATTTATATATATATATAATTTCTTTTTTCAAATCTAAAATTGAAAGATGTGTATCTATACTGAGAATCATTTAAAAACCAGCTTTTATATTTTAATTTGAATCTGTTTTTGTATTTTAATTTATTATTATTTAGTTATACAGCTTTATTTAAAAAAGACATCCACACTGTAAAAGTAGAACAGTCTTTGTTATACAGCTGTTTTATGACTCATCACCATATGTGATCATATGTGAACACATGTGGATTTTACTAACCACCAATCAGAAACAGTTAAGTTACCTCTATGATGAAGCAATTTCTGTCATGATGATTTTTATTACAAATTCAATTTATGATCTAGGCAATTGTAAGATTTCCGATTAGTCAAAAATACATTTGTTAATCCTTACGTTATTCTGTACATATATATTTTTTTTATGATCTATGAATCATTGAAATATATTTTCACGTACATAATATAGTTGTTATTTTTTTAAATTAAATATGTTTGAATTTTTTAGATAGTTTTTGTCAGTATTTAATCTTAACCAAATAAATGAGAAATGTTTAATATGAAGATGTTAAAAACGTCAAAAGATAATATAAAAGAAAAAAAAAGAAGAATATAATAAATAAGTTTCATGATGATTCATTGTTTATAAAAGTTTTATAGTTTTTTTCGTTAAATATGTTTATAGGTAATTTATTATCAGCTAAATCGTGATCATCTTGATTATTAAATTGTATACGAAGAGTATAATTATAATAACGTGGAATATGAGCATATCTAATCTCTAATTTATCAAGATATTTTTTTATTGTTTCTAAATTCCATTCATTATATAATTTTCTTTTTATCGTATATTGTTGTCGTTTAAGTTTTCTTTTCTCATTATGTTTTTTAATTCTAAGTGTATTAGATTCTTGACTTCGAAAAGAAGATTGAGATGGTTTTGATGTTGATATTGATACTGTTGAATTTATTGATGATCTTTCAATAAATTCATTAAAATAATCAATAATAGTATGACGAATTATATAATTGAAATGACGATGAACGTGTATACCATCTGCAATATGATTTCCAGTAATACGTAAACCGATGATACTAAAATTTATTTGATCAGATAGTATTTTTAATTGTTCATTATACAAGTTTATGTTGAACATTAAGTTAAATTCATCTTTAAATTGCGGTAGCTCTTTAAAACATGGAAAACATAGAGCAATTGTAATCTTTTCACGTTCATTAAAATGAGGAAACTTTTGTCGAAGATCGAAAATCAACTGTTGAACTTGAGGAATAATTTCTCTAGCCTTATTGGCACGAACTCAATTTGTACCAATTAAAAAAAATATTGCATTGGCCTGTAATAAATAAGGTCGAAATTCAGCTGATGATAGTAATGTAGAAGCACAAAAATTTCTTTTACGATTGTACAACCAACTGAGACCAGGAATAGCATGCGTGACCACATTATACGATGCTGTATCTCTTAAACCAAGATATCTGCCATGGCTGTCAGATAACACGAGAAAGTTCATTGATGATGAAGATTGATTGATCATAACTAAAATATACTTTGGTATATAAAAGTAATTAATTATAAGAATCGTGGAACTGCAAGCACTATATTTAATTGTTACAGAATGCAGCTGCTGAATGAAAGAACGAACAAAAAAGTTGATGCCTCGAGGATTCGAACCAAGTATCAACTGCATCCTAATAGATGTCCTAAGCCAGTTAAGCCAAAGGAATAATTTACTATCTCTTCGATATCGAAGTGAATCAAGAAAACATAATAACAACTACCAACAGTATATACCCGTATATACTGATATAACATTTCTGATTGTTAAAAAACATTCTTCTAATAATATAACCTTTTCTCTTTATGAATCTTCATATCTTTTCACAATATACAAAGTTTATCATTTGGTACTTATTTTCTTTCAGTAACATATAATTGTGATTGACAAAAATATTTTTCTCTTAATTCTTTTTTAATTACAATAGAATTGAATGGATACACAGTTTGTCATCTCATTGAAAGCATAAATACCGATAACTAGTATGTCTCAGTTTCCCAATTCATGTTGCACATTACGAAAAATATAATCAGTTATATTTCAGTTAAATACCTACATCAAGAAGCATCAACAAAACAACATTCATCTACTAAAACTTAATTCAACTAAAATAAAGTTCAGTATCACCGTGACTCTATTCTTGGTACATACCACAAAATGAAAATATCAATTTCATCGATATCATATAAATAAAATAAAAACATACTTACTAATGCTTATAATAGAGTTTGATAATTATATAAAAGAGCGAAATAACAAATACTTTCGAAAATATAACCACAGTCGACAATAGAAAAAATCAAAGGAATGCAGAACGAAATAAGTCCACAAATAATATACGCCACGTCATCATCAAACAAACATATACCTCAAATCACAACAACACTACAGGGTTCCATCCATGTAATAAAAGCATGAATGACAGCGAAATTTATTCTGCTTCTATAAGATCACATACACACAAACAGCACAAACCGATCTGTTATGATACTAAGACAAACAAATAATACAGTATCTGAATACATTCATACCTATACATAAATCTTAAAACCTCATTAATTCTAACACATACATTGCACGAATACATACTAAACTTTGAATCCGTATATCTTACCCAAATCGACCAAGTATTACCATTACTACTAATATAACTATCATAAAATATCATCATCAATATTATAATTACTGTGATTTTCATTAATCTCTTATTCTCATCACCCTACGTATTAACATAATCATGATCATTTTTCATCAATATTATTATCTTCATGATCATTCTTATAAGTTTATGATGTTCCTGGTATTTTTTATTACTGATGATGACCGACTTTACTATTCTGAAAATGGTCGAAAACTCTATCGATTTAGTTTTTCATGTTTCTCTTTTATATTTATATAAAACATTTTTTCTTTATATCTATGTAAATTATCGATTTACCGCACTTTATATTTATTTTTACATTCTACTCTTTTTACCATAATTCCATTCCGAACCAAAATCAAAACACCACCATTACTGTTTTCACCAGATTGTTGAAAAGTTTTAAAGTCACAAAACATTTATCTATAATCATATAAATCAATGTATCCAGTTTCTGAAAGTATGATAACATTAGTATTAAAAGATGAAATAAGACGCAAAACTTCTTGATAGCGTATATCTAAACCACGCACATTGAACATAAGAATATTTAAAGGAGAAAAAATCGAAGATGAATCAACACACACGTATTTTTCCAAATCGAAAAACATGAAGATAAAAGAGAACAACTTTCCCACTCTGAGAGAATCAAACAAAACATATTAAAGTCAAAATGAGAAAGAGTCAACTTAGCTCTACGTAAAAACAAATCTCTTTTATTACAATTTAAAAATGAGGAACAACTAAAAAAAGGTAAAGCAATAGTAGAAAGGTTCATTATATGAAGCTTTTACCATCCATCGCATCGGACATTTGATTACGAAAACGATCAATTTTACTTTTTAAACCAGGATCAACAGTTTTACCACCTCTTACCACATTCTTAGTATCAATAAGTTTTAAAATGTCATCCAACATAGGAAATAAAAATTGTTTAAAAATATCATCATTTGATTTCACCAATTTGTCCAAATCATTCACCTTTTCGTTCAATACCATTACATCTTGATCCATTTTATGATTAATAGATTTAAGATCATGAATTTCATTATTAATTCTTTTATCATTTTCATTTTTTTCAATCATAAATTGTTGAAAACCTTGATTTGTAACACACAATTTACTTAAAGTTTCATTAACTTGAGAGAGACCTGATATAAGAGTATTTAATTTTAAATCCATTGGATTACTGGATGGTGCCCACGGAGCTGCTGTACGAGGAAAATCATTATTAATATGTTGAGACGTGTTATTATTAGCTATATTAGCTGCAATAGACGAAGAATATGAAGTAACATTATTATTGATGTTCATTAATTTTTTTGTAAGATCAGCACGAAAGGTTTTAACAACAGGGCATTTCATAGAGTTAGATAGATGATCACCATTGCAATGTTTACATTTAATAATAGATGAACAATGATGCATTTTTAAATCTTTAAAAGATTGACCACAGGATTTACAAGTTTCATCTTGTTCAGTACATTGACGACGAAAATGTCCTACTGAACAACATTTTGAACATATTAAAACATTCACAGGAGCAATATATTCTTCAATTTCATAACAAATATAATTAACATATACCAGTTTATTATTTAATAAATCATCTCTTTCTTTAGCACAAGTCAATTCTAATTTCACCATTTTAATATCATTACTAAATTTATTTTTCATACGAATAACATTCTTAATACTAGGATATAAATTCTTAAGATCCAGAGAAAATTCATCAAAATCTAACTGAATATCAACATTTTTAATAATCAAAGACAATTGTGGAGGAATAGATGGAACAGAAGGAAAAGTAAACTGTTCACCACAAATCACCAATGGCCACTTCGAATGATCTAATAAAACAGCAAAAGAAGTTGAATCTTTAACATATAATAAAACATCCATTTCATTGTTGTTGCATTTGATGGTGGACCTTTGACAACTAATAACTTCAATAGTAAGATTATGATCAGATTTATAATGCTTGATCACCTCTGCTTTGAAATAAGTAATTGAAACATTGGTAGATTTAAATCGAACTATGTGTGGTGGAAAAGGAAAACGTGTCAACGCATAACGAGCAGAAGCTGTTGTTAATAATTGTTGCTGTTGATTATGACCTGTTGTAAAATTATTTGAAATTACTGATGAAGTAGTAGTAACATGATTATTAACATTTAAATTCATATTCACATTATCATTAACTGTATCAGTAACATTATGATGATGTAATAATTGAGGACGAATTGTACTACTACTTTGATTATTTATCTGTTTTGATTTTTTATAACATACATCTTGAAAATCACCATCATTAGAAGCATTAGAAAGACATCTACGTGATGGACGTGTTGGAGAAATAACTAGTTGTACTTCAGAAGTTCCACTAGCAGAAGCATGTTGATGTCTAATCAAACTTGAGTTCAAAAGAACATTTTCACTTGTGACATTAATAGAATCTTGACGATGACATTTTTGTTGATTAAAACCAGTTGATAATGGTACATTAATTGACTTACCAGTAACATCATCATTTTTCTGTATGTCAGTCAGCAACTTTGAATTAAGATTGCAATTACCCATAGTATAATTATGAACTTTAAGTACGAAAATATATCACGTAGTGTAAGCGAGATTATATAATACGTAGAGAATAGAAAGGAAAGACAAAATACGACTTATCAGTACGTGTTAAGAAGCGAGAATGAGTATTTGTGATTTTTCATAGCTATTTTAAAATAATTATGTCATTATCTAAAGAGTTGGTTTGGGAGTTTCTGATTTGGATAAAACAATTTTTTATGCTTTCAAGAGTTAAATGGTGGGTTTTGGTTCGAGAAAATGGTCGCTATTGAATTTTAATGTGTACGGATAATGAAGTTTTCTCGATTTGAAGTAAAGAAATTTTGATAATTTAAAAAAGGCTTTTATATACGCGGTTGTCTTACAAGTTGACAAGGCTAGCGCTTTATAAAATAGTAAAAGAACTTACCGCAAAAAAGTCTTCCTTCAATCATAGAGTAGAAAACTCTTTCTTATATATCTTTAGAATGATCTACCTCAGTTGTAGAACACAAAAAATTTTCTCATCGAACTAAAAACTAATCTACCCTCAGTCGTAGAATATAAAACCCTTTTCTTATTTGACGGTCAAACAATCTACTATTAGCAAGGTAAATAATAAATCTTTCTCAGACAAACGTAAACTAAAGAACTATTTAAAAGTTTGTAGAACAACTTGCCCTCTGTCGTCGAATAATAAATTCGTTATTTAAAACTCTAGAGTGATCTACCGTTTTGCTGCAATGGTCGAATTGTCTATCGTTATGTATAGAATAAAAAACTTTTGTGCTAGTATTTTAGAGTGACCCACCCTTATGCGTACAAGAATACACTCTTTTGATGAAAACGTTGAGTAGCAAACCCTCAAAAATGTATTCCACACCCTTTTCATTTTTATACACTCTCACTGTCAAAAACGTTTCGATTTTTAAACTCCTGAAGAGTACTTGATATCAAAATGAACTTTTCAAAGATTTATGGGACATTTTTTAAGAACAACGGTTGGCTCAGATGCCTTTTTTTCACAGTGTAAACAGAAAAATAGACCATATATGGTAGCGGCTAGCCGTGAGTGGCCGATCGAAGAGAGGCCGACAAACGACTAGACGTTGATTGGAAAGATTTATCCTAAATTTAATAAGTGAGATTTGACGTTTTTTGAGAAATTGTCAAGTGAATCGTTTCTTGAGCTGAAAACAAATCTTAATTACACATTTGACGTAACAAGATCTATTCAATAAAAGACTTGTGAATACAAATGTGGCGTGAGCAAGAATAGATATACAGTTGTACGACCCTCACAATCCTTAGAAGCTGTCCGTTATTGTAGCATTTTAAATGAATATTTTGTTTCAAATGATCGTGGTTCGGGGTGATCCCAAACGTATCCCGATCTGGTTGTGTCTATTAAACAAGCTGAACAAAGTGAAACATATGAACGACATCTAATTGTATTTTCTCAAAGAAGCAATCGAATAGTGATGAGTCATCCCACTTAGAATCATGAATATTTGTCTGTCTATTTTGTTGAAATGAGTTTGAGTTCAGGAATTAAAAACATGAAATCTTGAACAATTAAATACGATCGGATATCTGTAATAAACTTGGTTAGACTTAACTGAGGATAATAAACTCGAATTTAAGGTCTATTTTTGAAAATGGTACAACATCTATAAAGTAAATGTTTAACGAACTATCTTAAGGTATATACTTTGGAAAGATGATCAATTTTTCTGATTATTCAGCAATGTTAATATTGCTTTGCCCAGATTATTTTTAATGTGTGAGAATTTTCGAATATGCGGCATCACTACTCCTTGAACTTAATGAATTAGGTCAGTTTTTCAAAAAATGAAACATACGGCTGCGATTGATCGTCTATTCCTCAAATTAAAAATGAACCTTGCTCGGTTAAGATTTCAGGATGAATAGATCCTGAGCAGATTCCCTTCCTTGATATGTAATCGAAATTGAAATTATTTTAATGATAATCGTAGGAGATTTTCTTTCAGAAAAAGGCCCCGAGTCTATAGGATGAGCGTTACTTGTAATTACATGTAATATATATTAGATTTAGCTTAAAATTGATAAAAATGTTCTTAGAAAGAAAGAGATTATTTTATCTACAAAGAACTGCAAAGTTCATTTTGTACTGATTGTATCCTCTCTTTTATTCAAAAATGACTCTTCTATTTATACGATTAAAAAAACAGCAAGAGGGACAAAGAGAGAAGATGTTGCTGCAGAGATTAAAAGTACAGGTATTACTAGAAAAAGTGGGATATATTACTAAGTAGAGAAATATTAGTATAGAGAAAGAGCACGCAAAGCAATTAATATTTTTCTATATGAGTCAAAAGACATGGAAAGAAAAAAAATGTATACAGGAAGAATAGTGGTAATGATATGATCTCACGCAACGAAAAGATCTTAACAAGAACTATCGATATATTTTGTTATCATTTTTTTAATTAATTTTTTACGATTTCCTTTTGCATTATCACTTACCGTATTTCTCTCTTTGGCGTCTCATGTACTCAAATATGTAATACTAGTGTAACTCTTCCTAATACTTGATTTCATGACTTTTAAATTCAAATTCTTTATTTACTAAGTGCATCAATTAGAATAGTATTGGTACGTTCAATGAGACCTTGAGTTTGAGGATGACGAGGTCTTTCATAGACAATACGCATATATTTATAAAAAGAATTAATATTTGGTTAATAAATGAAAAATAATTAGGCCATAAAGTAATAGAATTAAGTCTAATAATTATATGTATTTTATGAAATTAAAATGCATAAATTGCTATATAGTTATAGCATTAGTATATTAATTCTCACTTGGAAAATCTACTTGTAGGCTATTTATTAATTCATTGATAAGCGCTTTTCTATTATCACTTTGAAGAATAAGTGGTGGAGCAAACATCAGAAATATTTCCCGTACACAATGGTACACTTCACGTGATTCTTTGTGTTTTAAAGCTCTTGCCTAACAAAACTTAGTAAAATGGTCTTTAAATTGTAAGATCCATTTATAAATCTTGCCATTAGAACTAGCAGCCGACCGAATTCTCATTTCAATGAGATTCATTTGGATTCTTGTCATAAATTCTAAAACGTGAGATAATAGTATATTAATTAAAAGAATAAATTCAGTAAAATATTGAGAAATGTGATAAAACTTCTATGTAAAGTCTATACCTAATCTGTTCTACTTTCTTTTACATAGAAAGATAAATATATCAATATCAAAAAAAATCTCATATTTTTTGAATATTTTTAATAAATTGTTGTTTAAAAATCAGTAATGTCGTCTAACCTAATGCAATGACTGGCTTTGACAATATCGGTCCAAGTATAGATTTTCTTTTTTGACATGACGAACAATTTTTTAAAAATATCTGTAATAAATTTCTGTTAAACCAGCTATAATTAATGACTAAACTATCGAGATATTTATCACAACCACCATGTGCAGTTTCAATGTGAATCTTTCTACATATGGGCACGGCTAAGCGTTACGGAATTTAATTTTTTCATCTTGTGAGACATATATCCTCAATAACAACAGAGTTGTTTCTAAAATTTTGGGCATATATGAAGATCAACTAGCTCTACTAGCACTAAAAAATTTAATTTCATTGGCTTGTGGCGAGCCATAACGGAGTTATTTGAAAAACATCGTTCGTCACGGAATTTCAAAAAATGGACAAAACTTTGAGGGAAGACTTAGATTTTAACATTTTTCTTCGAAACTAATCGACTCATAAGTAAATATTCTATACAAAAGTTATTCAGTTTTCACAAGCTGTTAGAATATCATGTAGTTTTCGCTATGAGACAATTCCTTCGAATAAGCCAACTTAATAGGCTGAGCGTTACGGAATTTCACCACTTTTCTCTTTTCCGCCGAGGACAGTTTAGTGCCACTTTTATGATAATTTTAACTATGAAATCTAACTTATTTTATTCGGCAAAGATTAAGAAAATTGTTTTTTTTATAAATCGATTAGCTTATTTTCATCTTTTTTTCAAAATTTCATTGAAAATTTCATTCATTACTTTGGTAAAAATGAAGAAACAGCGAAATTTCATAATTATTCACGTTTATAAACTCGTAAGAACGACAAATAATATTACTTTTTTATGTTAGCTGAGTAACTCGGAATGTAGAGTAAACTTAATAATATTTCAAGATTATACTGTCTGTAAAACAAATTTCTATATATTACTGACTCTAACCCTTTCTCAGCGAAGGGGATCGTTAGTGGCCTGTCCACGTAACTACGTACATTAGTCGGCGAAGTTGACCAACGCTGTTAAGCAAAACAAATATCACCATCGTGTAGAGCAAGGTCGAAATCACTCAGAAATATGTTCTCTCTCTCCATAGGTCTGCATTATTGTGTGAAAATTTATCATACAAAAAGTGTGAGTCTCATAAGTCTCGAATGAACAAAATTATGACAGATCCTAGTTTTGAAATTTTTTTTGCAAAGAGACGTGCTTTTTTGAAACTCAATATATGAAGTAGTACTACTACTAATAGAGTACGTGTTTATGAAAAGAAAAGTGTGATCCATTGTTTCTTCGTGAATTTATCTAAGTGCGTAAACTTGGTACACCGATCTAGGTGATTCCGTCACGAAAATAAAGTACAGTTCATTTCTAGTCAACAGTGATTGCGTTTTTAACCTTAGAGGTAGTGCTTTAAATAAAGTTTTTTATGCTCTATCTAATGAATGGATTGGATGCTTTTTATAAATATTCTGGGTAGTGAAGATGGTCGTGACGGAATACCATCAGATGACCAATTTTTTTCATAGAGCTTTAAAATCTAATTTTTTTTAAAAGTTATAATTCCGAGTAGATGTGAGAACATTCACAGCTAATTTTAAAGACTGATTAGCTAATTCAGGACGTGCTCTTGTATTGATTTTCATCCGTTTTCTACTATGTGAATTTAACAAGAGGTTTAAACAACATAGAATGTAATGATAGACCGATTCTAAC